TTAGCAATGTGTTAATTTAGGGGAGTTTTATTTTATCACTCCAATGTTTTTGAAAATGGCGTGTTTTTTACATCTTTTGCATGCGTTTTCTAAACTAAAAAAAAAAATACAAAATCTGTGGGGCCTTGAACTTCACCAGACCCTAAATCCAGATAAATGTTCCTTAAATTCAAAAAAAAAAATCAAATTTTACACAAAACCCAAGTTTGGCCGTTTTTGCTCTAGTCGGAAGACAAAGCTGTCAAATGGAATTTGGCAATAATGAGGAAAAATTGATCGGTTTGTTCGGACTTCAGTTCAAAATCAATTCTGGATTGAACTACGCTTGTGCATTTGGTAATATGGGTCATATCAAACCTATATAAACAAATGCGCAAGCATAGTTCAATTCTGAACTGAAGTCCAAACAAACCTATATTGAAAATATTGACATTGGGAGAACTATTTTGAAAGCCGCTTTGATTACAGAAATTTTTATTATAAATAGTTCGGATCGCATCCACCGCGCCGTGACGGCGTATTGTTCCCCAAAATTTTATTAGGCAGTTTGCCTTCTATCCGTGAGGATATGTATTCTGTGTTCTACCGTCCACTGTCAAAGGTGACAGACGCAATTTTATTTTCTATAATTTTTTAAACAGCTTTCGGATATTTTGTTACCGCACAGTTTCAGAAAAAATACTGTATATTAATATGTATGGTAATTAGGTTATTACCGCCCTTAGAGATTGCAAACCTCGCCTCACCGGCTCGGTTTGCAAATTTCTCTCGCGTGCGGTAATAACCTAGTTACCACACTTATTATATAATAATTGCACTATTATGTATAAAAAAAATACATATATCCTGTTCACAATCCGATGTCCACAGGTGCAGGTGAATTTATCACCTTTCCCTATCAAATAGCATTGAAAGGTGATACATTTTACCTGTACCTGTGAACATTGGATTTTGAACGGATAATACATTTGAAGTCATACAGAGTTTAAATCTAAAATAATCTAACTTACAAGAATTCTCTCGACATGCATCTTAAATTTTTCTTGAGATAAACTGAAGAAGTCAAGACCCTCATAGAACTTATTTACACTGGCAGATATTCTATTTACAGTAGTTAAGTACAGGGTGATCTATTATAAATGTCACCCCTCCAAACTTCTTCATTTGACATTTTTGGCAAAAGTGTCAAATATAGAAGTTCTAAGCTTAGTGGAAAAGCTCGGCTTTGTCACACAAAAAGCCAAGCGTTTCTAAGCCAGGCTTTATGAACTACGGAGAATATGGCCCTAAGCAATTGTCAGTTAAATAAGTCAGTTTTAAGCATACAGGGTGCGACAAAAAAGTGTAGCATTGCGAATTTATATTCTTTTAAATGAGACACCATGTATATTGTGTGCCTATTTCAAATCAAATCAAAATCAAATCAAATAATGCTTTATTGTCCAAGAAAACCTATTGACAAAGCTGATCTTAAACCTAAGAATAACTTATGACCGTTTGCACCTACCGTTTTAAGGGAGGCTTAACGATAAGTATACCTTAAAATGACAGTTTTTCATGTAAAATGTCACTTTGAGGAATACTTATCGTTAAGCCTTCCTTAAAATTGTCGGTGCAAACGGCCCTTAATGATAAAATGAAAAGCCACAAGTCTAGTTTGCTTTAATACTATCATTTTGGTCCTAAAACCCATTATTGAAAAGACAATTAAAATACAATTTATACACCTGAAGAGCAAACTAAGTAGAGTGTGCAACATACAAATTTGAAAACAGTCATCTTAAAAATAAAGAAATAAGAAAACATAAAATCAGTTCTTGCAACAAAAACAATTCAAATACTTATATGAAAAGATACAAATGCAAAGAACAGTCATAATTAAAACAAATACATACAGAAAATTAATCTTTAAATATCAAATCACCAAATCAAATCAAAATACGCTCCAATGTAAAAGATACAGATCTTATTTACAAGGCTAAGATTAGAGTATATAAAGATAATTAAAATTAGTCATTTCAATTAAACAATTAGGAATTCTTAATACATACAATCCAAAAGGCAACACATAGTAGAATATTAAAAAACAAAAAAAAAAAAAAAAACAAGAATTCAAAATGTATACAGGGTGTCCGGAAAGTCAATGATACTACTGAAAGGGCTGATGGAGCAACTCGTTAGCATCCTGAAAAACATGATATGACGTTAGTAAAAAGTCGATGGTTTCCGAGATATTGTAACTTTAATAAAATTTGTTAAAATCGTCCTCTTGGATCAGATTTTCGAGTGTCACCTTGAAATTTTCATTATTCTCAGATTCTGAATTCTGTTTTGTAATGGTGAATAGATATTTAATTTGTCATAGACCAACACTAAAATTCAAAGCTCAAAACATTTTTTTAAAAACTTTTCAAAGTGGAGTATGGCTTATTTTTATTTTTCATCACTCAAGTTTAAATGTTTTGAACTTTAACTTTTGATGTTGGTCTATGACAAATGAAATCTCTATTCACCATTGCAAAACTGAATTCAGAATCAAAGAATAATGGAAATTTCAAGGTGACACTCGAAAATCTGATACAAGAGGACGATTTTTACGATTTTTTTTAAAGTGACAATATCTCGGAAACCATCGATTTTTTACTAAGGCCATATTATGTTTTTCTGGATGCTAATAAGTTGCTCCATCATCCCTTTCAGTATTATCGTTGACTTACCGGACACCCTGTATAGAACAGACAAACACTACAGTACATACAGTCACATTATCAAAAGTTTATCAAAAAACATCCACATAAAACTCCTCAAGGGTAAGTAAACTCTGTCAGCCGACAGCTTTTTTACTGCCTTTTTAAAGCATCTTAAATTATTAATTTATTAATTTGTTAGTCCCCTTCAACCTGATACAGCGATATACAGTTTGATATGTCTATTTTCAGTAGTTATAGGGAAAAACATGAAAACTTCTTTCAAGGTCTCATGTTGAAGAAAGAAAAATTATATTAAAATTTAAATACCCGAGTAAATACCATTTAAGCTTGAGAGAGAATTGTTCATAAACAATTTATTGTTCGAATGTTATTCGATAATTTACAAGGTGAAATATTATAATAAATCCAGATGTCTTGAGTTATTATTATTATTAAAAAAAATAAATAAAATGAGACCTAGGAAGCAGTGATGTTCGTGAGTCATGACCAGCGCGCATGACGGCGGGTCATGACGGTCATGACCGTCACGTCACATTCAATGTGACCGTTAGTCATGACCGTTTTACTGCATAGTGTGTAAATGTGCAGTAGTAAAGTAGACTGCATAGTATGCGGTAAAGTAGATTCGGTGTTCAGGTACTCTCAAAAATCCCTTCTCGTTCAGAAATTTCAAAAATGCCTTTTTTTGGAGATAGATGCTCATAGGTATAATTTTGAATGCGGTGAAGTATCACTTACTGCATTTGTTAGGTAAAAAGCTATTATTTTTGTTATTTTATTTGTTATTTGTTGAAATTTCTTCTGTTCTGAAATCCTCAATTATTTGTCAAAACTCAATCAATAATTGACTGTCCCTATTTTAAACCCATTTGTGAGTTTAAAGACCATAGACTGTGGGTAGTGGCGTTCTAAATTGAAATAATTACTATGAACTATGACCATGATCATGACCGTCATGACATGTCATGACGCAAATGACCGTCACGATTTCAAATGACCGTCATTTTACATCAGTGCTAGGAAGGCATTTTGACATATTTTCCTATAACTATTGAAGATAAACCGAGGGATAAACATATCATCATATCGTTGAAATCAGGTTAAAGGGGACTAATAAATGAGCGCACAATATACATGGTCTTCCACTTCTGTCAAAAATGTCAAATGAAACATTAGGAGGGGGTGACATTTATAATGGATCACCCTGTACCAAGTTTGAGAGTAAGGAATGTGCAGTAAAAATTTATTTTGTGTCTGATACTGATCCCGCAAAATAAGTTGGCGAAAAAGCAATTTGCGCAGTACCTACACAAAATTCGGAAATGGTAAGGGCGTAAACTGAACTGTAAACCCTACCCTCGGTAAAGGGATGGGAAGCAGTGGCATGTAGGTATTGTTTGCCCAGCGGATCTGAGTGAAAAGTGAGAATACTAGGCATGAAGTATAGTTCATTTGAAAATCCATTTTTTAATAACAAAATGTAGATAACAATAAAACGCTAAATATTTCAACGTGGTTGTTAGATCTATGCTTATTTTAATAACTGATTTCTTCAATTTTGTCTATTGTAAAAAATAAACATTTCCTAAAGAATCCATCAGCTTTTGACAATTTGGCAAGGATCCGGCCTGGATGAACCTGATTGGTGGAGTTTTTGGCAGGATTGCCATTGCCACGGGCAACCATGTAATTATCAGTGGGCTAACGTCACCTTACGTCTCGCTATTGGCCAGGGCTCTTGTCATTTTATCCTCCCATCTTGGAATATCGATTTATATTGAAATATCCAGTGGCGGCGGTTTGGTCATTGTCGATTTTCGTGAAGGAGTTGCAATACGATAACATTTCCAAAAAGTTCCGCACGCAGCTGGGTATTTTATGAATGAAATCAGCCATTTTTTTTTACAACTGCATTCCCCTTACCGTTGCCCCCGTAGACACAGAGTCGCTGGGCAGACAGTACAATATGATAATTTATTTGTAATGTCAATATCGTCATACCAATTAGTGACACCCCTGATAATGGAAAAGGTTTCTATTTTAGCTTTGCCTGGGCCAAGAAAAGGGACCCACTGCTATGCCTACCTGTGACAGGTAAACATGAGAATACAGAGGAATACATAAGAATACATTGGGAATACAGAATACATAGTGTGAATACATAAGAATACACAGGGAATACAAAGGAATACATAGGAAATTGTTGCCCCAAGTTAAAAGTTCGAAATCGATTTAATATACTCTAATTTTTGTAAGTAGTTGAAAGTTGACTACAGAATGCATACTTACACGGCATTTGTCTGTTGTAATATCTTCAGTCAAGCAAATAGTTCCAGGAATAGCTTTGATAGGAAACAAATCGATACCAATAATAATACTGGATACTGGCATGTTCTGTTTGGCCACTTGCATCCATCCTCCAGGAGCCGCGCAAAGATCGAGACATACTCGAGATTTTTGAAGGAATTCAAATTTTCTATTCAGTTGAATTAACTTGAACGCAGCACGAGAGCGAAAGCCTGGTAGAAGAACATAAGGAATTGAGATATAAATAGGATAAGAGGAAAGGTCAGTGGTTTACCTGTTTCTTTAGCTAAGTGATAGAACTTATCCTTCCTATGCCTTCCAATTTTAGATTTCTTCCCCATTTTCACTTTTTAGGGCATCAAACAACTTCAAATTAAAAACACTCTACAAGGCAAGGCCTACCTGCTGTAAGAACGTGTAAAAATTGTGGTTATGTTTTCACAGCATGTTTGTTTTGTGACGTTTGTGATCGGCTGGCTGGACCCCGTTCGAAAACACGATTACTGATTACTGGCGCGGCTCATAAGAGCGGTGGCGAATACACGTCCGTGTTCTAGTTCGTAGTTCGTACTCTATTACTCTATCTAGGTTTTCTCAAAACCATCTTTATGCCATCAGAGTCGAGCAAATGGAGCACAACTCTAATGGCGTTTCCAATTGTTTTTTTTTTTTGATTCAATGGGTACCGAGTGTATTTGCATCCTTTCAATCGACAGACAGAAATAGAAAAAACTGCACTAGGTCCGCACTAGATCTACCAATCGGAAAAGCCATAAGAAAACTCGATAGAAAACTGCTCCGATTTCACTAGGGCTGGGATCGCGACGAGCGACGAGTAGAATTCTACTTTCATGACGTCACCCGCGACTTATTTATCGCGTAAAGTCTGTTTTTTTTAGAGATAAAAGTCAAAATGACAGTATGTTGGCAAAACAATGTAAAATTGTCAATGCTTTCAAATTTTTATGTAGAAACTCAATAGTTGTATTCCTTTCACATCTAGGAGGAGCTCCGGAACAGCTCCGGGGCTTCACGCGCTTATTCCTTTCGAAAAGTGTTTGTTCACCACGCATCTGTTCCCTGCAAATCGGGGGCGACTGAACACCGGAGCGAGTAGCTCGAGTGTTTCTCAAACTCTTGAAAGGAATACACCTATTGTGTAGAAAAGGCTTGTGTTGCCAACATAGTTACTAACCTTGCGTTCGGTATTTTGCTCAAAGAGCAGAGCGTGCTGAGCGGAGCCGTAATCACATGACCAGCGAGCGAACAGAGCAGTTGTACGCTGTATCAGAGTGCCAGAAATTTTAATAAACGAACGCGCATGAGCCTGCACCGAGTACACTGTTTAAATAAACAAACGGTAAATTCAAGCTCGGAGAACTCAGATCTAATTACCGAACGCACGGTAAATTTTTGACTTAGGAATTTATCTTTAAAAAAAAAAACAGACTTTACAGTACAGGCAATGATTATATGGTTGCTAGATAACCTGGCGTCATAAAAATATACTTCTACTTGACATGATCCCAGCCCAGCTACAGGTGCCGAACTCAGCTCGACTCTTGACTAGTGTTGAGTGCGCGCAAATTGTGCAGCAAAGAATAAAAATCAAAATTCTATCAATAGAGACTTTTGCACTTGCCATTCCGCTATAGTTATACTGAGTATGCGCAGAAGCAAAAAAAATTTCGTTGTACTTATCACCCACAACGAGCGGCATTATTTAAGGAGGAATAACCACAGCTTACGATAGGTTGCGACTAGAGGATGAGAATCCCCCACCAGTGTTTTGAAAAAAGTGGACGCGAAAAAACGGCACTGTACATGTCAATGGCTGCGTTCACCAAAACCAAAACAGTTTACAAATACCAACAGAATACGTTAGGTAAACTCTTGGTTCTGCTCTGAACAATTCAACATCATAGAACGTCACCCCAGTGTTGCCACCTCTAGCGATTTATCGGTAGATCTACCCGATTTTAAACCATTTTCTCACGATTTTTGTGCAATTTGTTGGTAATGCAACAAATATGTAGATATATTAGCCGCATTCTTTCGGGCCGGATCAGTTGATCAAAACGCGTTATGTTCCAGTGATCACGTTCTTTCGCATTTTGGCAAATGACAGTTAACGAATCATGATCCGAGAAATTCTGAACATATTGAACATTTTTTGTTTGTGATTAGTTTGTTCCGATCGCGAAAATCTAACCTCAACTTTCAAATTATTTCTTGTTTACTTTTTGCGCTTTCTGCAATAATATATAATATAAATTTTGTAAGCTCGTCCATTATTATAGGCACAGAAAAACAAACGTAGCAAATCAAAAAACTGCAAAATATAATAATAACCAACTCAAAAAATAGAGAATAGAGGAAAAGCACCAGCTGGCAGTGACACATCAGTGACAGCGTTTTTTCGGACTAATAAATGAAACATGTTCCATCTGAACGAACGGATCAGGATCTCGGAATCATGATTCAAATATTTTGCGAAAGAATGCGGCTATATTTTATTTAAAATAAAAAATAAAATTGTTTCTCATTCCGCAAGAAAATCTAAAAACTAATGACATCTGACATCGTGTCTCGTCTGTCACGTCACTGATGATCACTTATGAAAACGCTATTGAAATTGAAAGTCGCTATAAATAATACGCAATTTTTTGCGAGGATAACCAAGCAATAAGCATACTCGATTGCTCAGGGGTGAGTTCAGAAATGACACACCCAGTGTGAGTGTGACGCCCTAGCTGTTCAAAAATGCTAGACGGTGGTATGAGCCCAATGGCCAATTGTGAATTCAGGCACACCCATAAAATCGCACTCGCACCCTGTGCGTTATTCCTGAACTCGGCCCTGATGTTATGTGTCAATTGTGTCATACTCCCCAACTCCCCCACTATCATATTCTGGGATACTCGAGGATCAGAACACTTAAGGGGATTGAATGCGCCTCAATGCCAAAATATTTTTCCTGCGCGAAGCACTTAACGCAGTCTATCATTGTATTCTTCCTCCCCTATTAATACTTCTTAGTGGGATTGAGATGAATGAAACAAGGAATGCATTGCGTTCTTAATTTCAACGTAACTATTTAGCAGTTGAAGTTAATACAAATTTCTTTCTTGCATTCGATTTATAATATAGGGACGAATGGCGCTATCTTTTTAGAAATCCGGTAATAGAAACGAGTTCTCGAAAAATTACAAAAATGTACCTAATTCAAACTGGAAAAAAACTAGAAAATTAATCAATTTATGGTGTCTTTTTTAATTAGCGCCAATCTTATGTGTGTTAGCAATACAATAGCACAAACCAGAATCCCAAAAACCAAAAATTATCTAGTTTTTTTTTGTAGAAATTTACTTACTTCTTCTTGTCATTTTGCCTGTCTCTGTTATACCCGCAGCAAACCCTATGGCTCTTTCCTCCGCCTGTTTTGCGATAAATTTTAAATCGCTATCGTGAAGGATCCAGCGCCAACCGGCCCAACAGTAGCCCAATGCAATAATCGCGATGAACCTCGCATCTTTATTAGTATTAATTTGTTGGGTAGTCGTATAGTTCGACGTGCGTTACAATATATTTTTTCTACTGACATTTCATAATACGCTATTAAACGATTAAAATCTGTATTATAATGAACTTCATTACGATACAGATTTTCATTTTAATACTCATTTTTAATATTATACAATGTTGATAGATGGCAGCACTAGTTAAGATATTAAACATTTTTAACGGTAATTTTGCGTGAAACAATTATTTTAATAACTATAAAAAAGACTTCGAATTACTTAAAAGTTACCTAAAGTTTGGGACAAAGAATAATTATTATGGAAATAATGAGTGATAAGGAAGAATTTTTACTTTTCTCATTATTATACATTGTCAATAGATGGCGCCACCAGTTGAGAAATATTGAATTTTTTTTTTTTTGAATGATGACAGCACTCTGTTTATAGCTTTTCCATGGTAATTTAGCAAAAAACAATAATTTCATGAAAAAAATACTTCAAATTGTTATTAAAAGTTACCCAATGTTTGGGATAAGGCATTATTATGGAAATATTGAGTGATAACGAAGAATTTTCACTAACACCTCCAGAAATTACAGAAAGGGCGACAAATGCAGGTAATAATATACTACCGGACAAGTCCAAGGAAATTTGCGAAAAATTATATGGACAATTTATGGATTGGAAACACCAAAAACACATCGTCCTTCTCAAAAAATGTTTTGATAGTATATTTTGAAGAATTACAACAAAAAATGAAACCTTCAACTGTATGGGTTACTCAATTATAATAGTATATTATGCAATGATCATGTAATGATAGCCATTAATACACGAGCATGTTGTAGGATACGAAACGAGCCGCAGGCGAGTTTCGTATATAACATGCGAGTGTATTAATGGCCATTACATGAGAGTTGCATACACTATTTTTTCTACTGCCATTGATAAAACTTATGATATTTAGATATGTCAACATTATGCTTAACTTTGAATAGAGATTTTATAATTGAGTAATCCATACAGTTGAAGGTTTCATTTTTTGTTGTAATTCTTCAAAATATACTATCAAAACATTTTCTGAGAAGGACGATGTGTTTTTGGTGTTTCCAATCCATAAATTGTCCATATAATTTTTCGCAAATTTTCTTGGACTTGTCCGGTAGTATATTATTACCTGCATTTGTCGCCCTCCTTTCTGTAATTTCTGGAGGTGTTAGTGAAAATTCTTCGTTATTCACTCAATATTTCCATAATAATGCCTTATCCCAAACATTAGGTAACTTTTAATAACAATTCGAAGTATTTTTTTTCATGAAATTATTGTATTTCGCTAAATTACCATGGAAAAGCTATAAACAGAGTGCTGTCATCATTCAAAAAAAAAAAATCAAAATTTCTTAACTGGTTGGCGCCATCTATTGACAATGCATAATAATGAGAAAAGTAAAAATTCTTCCTTATCACTCATTATTTCCATAATAATTATTCTTTGTCCCAAACATTTAGGTAACTTTTAAACAATTCGAAGTCTTTTTTATAGTTATCAAAATAATTGTTTTACGCAAAATTACCATTAAAAATGTTTAATATCTTAACTAAGGCTGCCATCTATCAACATTGTATAATATTAAAAAATGAGTATTATAATGAAAATCTGTATCGTAATGAAGTTCATTATAATACAGATTTTAATCGTTTAATAGCGTATTATGAAATGTCAGTAGAAAAAATCTCTATTCAAAGTTAAGTAAAATGTTGACATATCTAAATAGCACAAGTTTTATCAATGGCAGTAGAAAAAATAGTGTATGCAACTCTCATGTAATGGCCATTAATACACTCGCATGTTATATACGAAACTCGCCTGCGGCTCGTTTCGTATCCTACAACATGCTCGTGTATTAATGGCTATCATTACATGATCATTGCATAATATACTATTATACGGCGCATTCAATACCCTTAACTTCTTCTGTGAGAACAAACCGAAAATCAGCTTTTCTACATTTGAAATCGACGAAAAAATTAACTCACTAAACTAGCACAGCCTAAATCTGCATTCCATCGCAGTCTGCGGGTGACGTCATCACTATAAGCTGCTGGTAGTGACGTCACTCGCAGGCCAGTTTTATATACCTAAGCAAATTGTGGCGGAATGACGTCATACGACGCAACCGCCTAGCTACCGATTTTTAAACGATAACTACGGATTATTTCTCCAAGAATCTACCATGTTGCCAACTGCGGAACAACTATTATAGTATAGAACGCTATAAAATTATAGTGAATTTGTACAAATTATAGTATCCTGCTGGAGACAGATGACCACCAATTGTCCTGGTGGGACACACAGAGATCGAACTATTATGAAATTTTATGGACAAAACGGAGAAAAGTCCAACATTTTATTTTTTTCTGGAAAACTGTTCAGGAGAAAATTATGACATTTTCTGGAAAAAAGAGGAAAGTCAGGAACGTATCATAGTAAAATTTCAAATTTTTCCAGTGGAAAATAACCCCATTGGAAATTAATGAAAATCAACTAAATTAGGCATAAATGCACCATTCAACATTTTATTTTTCTTCTGGAAAACTATTCAGGGGAAAATTATGACATTTTCTGGAGAAAAAGAGGAAAAGTCAGGGGACGTAGGTATCATAGTAAAATTTCAAATTTTTCCACTAGAAATATAACTACCTAGTGCATAAAATATTTCCGGAAATTTTGAAAATTCTTGTCTGAAGCCAATTTTTTAACAAAATCATGAGTGCATGCGCCTGAAAAAATTCCGAACCCGAAGGGTGAGGGATTTTTTCTTTGGCGCCATGCACGAATGGTTTTGTTTAAAAAAATTGACTAAAGACGAAATTTTTAAAAATTTCCCTTAGGAAATATTTTATGCATGTGTTATATTTTGATAGGAAATTTCCCTTGTGCATATTTAACTGGAAATTTACCTCGTAATTTTCAAAAATTGACAAGTGGAAATATCCCTGGTGAGAGGGATATTTCCGGGTGCAATTTCCAATGCGACAATGCCGCGCGGCGTCTGTCGGAAACCCACCTTTAGGTTGTCATTTTTGGCATTGAGACCAGCTTTTCCATTTAAAATGCATTGATGTCAGAAATCTGACAAAGTGTATATTTTTTGACAAACGCAATTTAAATGGGAAATATCAATAACAATCACCATCACAGAACACATCATCATAATTAAAATATTCGCCACAACTTATAATAAAAAATAAACTTCAAACTCGGGAAATTTCCTATCAAAATATAACACGTGCATAAAATATTTCCTAAGGGAAATTTTAAAAAATTTGGTCTTTAGTCAATTTTTTTAAACAAAACCATTCGTGCATAGCGCCAAAGAAAAAATCCCTCACCCTTCGGGTTCGGGATTTTTTCAGGCGCTATGCACTCATGATTTTGTCAAAAAATTGGCTTCAGACAAAATTTTCAAAAATTTCCGGAAATATTTTATGCACTAGTTATATTTCTACTGGAAATTTCCCTTGTGCATATTTAACTGGAAATTTACCTCGTAATTTTCAAAAATTGATAAGTGGAAATATCCCTGGTGAGCGGGATATTTCCGGGTGCAATTTCCAATGCGACAGTGCCGCGAGGCGTCCGTCGGAAACCCACCTTTAGGTTGTCATTTTTGGCATTGAGAGCAGCTTTTCCATTCAAAACGCATTGATGTCAGAAATCTGTCAAAGTGTATATTTTTTGACAAACCCCATTTAAATGGGAAAGATCAATAACAATCACCATCACAGAACACATCGCCATAGTTAAAATATTCGAAACAACGTAAAATAAATAAACTTCAAACTCGGGAAATTTCCTATCAAAATATAACACGTGCATAAAATATTTCCCAAGGGAAATTTTAAAAATTTCGTCTTCAGTCAATTTTTTTAAACAAAACCATTCGTGCATAGCGCCGAAGAAAAAATCCCTCACCCTTCGGGTTCGGGATTTTTTTCAGGCGCTATGCACTCATGATTTTGTTAAAAAATTGGCTTCAGATAAAATTTTCAAAAATTTCCGGAAATATTTTATGCACTAGTTATATTACTACTGGAAATTTCCCGAGTTTGAAGTTTATTTACTATAAGTTGTGTCGAATATTTTAATTATGGTGATGTGTTCTGTGATGGTGATTGTTATTGATCTTTTCCCATTTAAATTGCGTTTGTCAAAAAATATACATTTTGACATATTTCTGACATCAATGCGTTTTAAATGGAAAAGCTGGTCTCAATGCCAAAAATGACAACCTAAAGGTGGGTTTCCGACGGACGCCGCGCGGCATCGTCGCATTGGAAATTGCACCCGGAAATTTCCCTTGTGCATATTTAACTGGAAATTTACCTCGTAATTTCCAAAAATTGATAAGTGGAAATATCCCTGGTGAGCGGGATATTTCCGTTCCGGGTGCAATTTCCAATGAACTATAGCCAAAAACTGGAATGCGCACACATTGCCATATCTGCCAAAAAAATGAAGCCATGAAAGACAGATGCCACAAGGGGGAATGTTGTTTTTTTCTGTTGCTCGCTGACATATGACGTTTTCGAAAGTTTTGTCATATTTCCCTTCACAGGTTTCATCAATTGGAATACGTGTTGGAAGCAGTTTTCGCCATTTAACATAATGAGTGCGACAAAAACAGGTATCCCCTCCGCAGCAGCCGCACTAGTCTTCAAGTTCGTCCTTATGTGATAGCATTCCAGTTTTTGGTTATAGTTCATTGATGTCACCACACAAAACACAAGTATTGGAAATTATGAAGACTCCTAATTTATGCTTGCAAAAATGACGACCGTTTGCAAGCAAAACATGTTTGGTTTCAACACAAATTCAACATAATAAACCGAATTTTCGAGACGAATGTAGTTCATCCAAGGACGAACCATAGTTCGTCTTGTGACGCCATGTGTTTGAACGCTGGCTAGAATCTGCATACATGTTTCCGGCAAACTACGTTCAATATGACGTCAAAGTTTCTCGCGAAAGCGTTTCAGATAGAAAGCTGAATCTTTCACTGAATTTTATCCAGTGGCGGCTCGTGACAATCCAAACTGGTGAGGCCCATGGCCCATCAAGTTAACCCAAACAAAATTTTCAAGTGTTACGCCCAAATTTTGACCCAAAATTTCATCAAAAGAACATCTCGGATATTTTTTTTTTGTATATTTCTAATGAAAATTTTCATTTCTTACAGTTGCAAAACAACAGCAGTAGGTACATAATTCTTATTTTAATACAAATATTGAGTTTCAAATTAACAAAATAAATTCCAAAAAACAGTTTCTTAACCCGCAACAGACCAAAATAAAAAGTATGAGCCAATTAACCAATTAAATACTTGTCGGAGCAGCAAGAGATGCAAGGTTTCTTATTAACAAGCCCAAAATTGTGCGCCGCAATGCCCATAAAAATTCGCTATCGTCTCACCTACAGTTGAAGGGTTGTGGTGGGGAGTGCCGTGGCATCGCTTCGGCGTTCTGTGACACACATGAGGCCAAAATTTTTGGGATTGCTATTTTATTTTAATGCTGTCCCGCAACGATTTGAGCGCCTATAAGGATAAAGAGGTAGAAGCGCGCGCTAAATTCAAGAAATAGTATTATATTTTAATGAAAATTCGATGTTTTGATTCTTTTAATGATTGAAAATAGTTGAAAAACGTTAAATATTTGATAAATATTATTTCAAAATTTTACGTCATTATTGTAATTTTTACATGTGAGGCCCGGCCTCAGTTGCTTTATACGACGAGCCGCCACTGATTTTATCCCTTTCAAAGGATTACAATCCCTGAAAAGGGTTGTGGTTCAGCCGGACAATCGTCAAGCGTTTTACCAACGTTTGTATCTGGTGAACGCGTCTTGTTATACCCATAAGTTGTATTCCTTTCAAGAGTTTGGAACACTCCAGCTACTCGCTCTGGTTTTAGTCGACCCCGATTTTAAAAGGAGAGATGTGGGGTGCAACCTGAATAAGATTCAAATCAATACATGACTTCAAACCCAAAATTGGAATACTATTTTCCATTGTATTGACAAAAAATGAGGTGCACCCTTGGTACAACCTTTTCGAAAGGAATAAGCGCGTAACGCCCCGGAGCTGTTCCGGAGGTCCTCCTAGGTGTGAAAGGAATACATCTATTGCTGTGCCCATTGGTTTTAGAAAGGCGGAACCAAAGTTTATAGTGTAACCTTGCTCCTTATTAAGTACGAGTACGACGCTCCACACCGCACACATCACACATCACACGTCATCATCATATTACACAAGTTATCGAACGCAGCCGGGAACAAGTGGTTTGTTTTAATTCTTGATTGACATCTTTTTTTGTTATGATTTTTTTAGTAAAGTGATAAAAGTTGGTAAAGTAGGGGAAAAGGCAAAGTTCAAGTTTTTAACTATCATTGTTGCTTGAATAATTACTGTTCAGTGCTGATAGTGCGTTTTTTGCATTTTAATTTTATTACTTGTTTTTAATTTCCCTTGAATCCGTCCAACTATGTCCCTCTCAAAACCCATTATCAGTGCTTTGAGTTTCTACTTTAGCCAGTTGTATGAGCACCCATTAAGGACTAAAGCAGTTAGCTGGTGAGGAATAAGTTTAATGAGTTATAATAACGTTGATAATAACCTGTAATCTATTATATCTGCAAATTTATATAATGCACAGCGTTGCCAGAGCTAGTACAATTGTACTAATCTAATACATTTTGGGTCTTTTTATACAAAAATACAATTTGATAATTTCTAGTACATTTTCATGGCATAAAAAATTTCTTACTTACTGATATTGTAAAATCATGACTGGTAAACTTAAAAACAAAAATCGACCAATCGACTGTGATAGGAGGATAACGAATTAAATGTTTGTAATTGTATGCTTTCCTAATATTTGCTTATTGGGGGAAGATATCAAAGACGAAACTCCCGCACAGGGCGCCGCCGGAGGCGAAAAATTTTCTCGAATGCCTCGCCCAAAAAAGTTTATTGAAGCCTTCAGAAACTTTTTTTTTTCGTGTAGCAGGCCGAAAAACATTCAAGTATTTTAAGCCTTATGACGTAGAACACATCCGGGAAAATCCGGACGGATGATAGCCTCACCCAGGGCCGGCTCTAGGTATTTTGCCGCCCTGGGGGGCCTTTATTTGAAATCGATCGCAAATATCTGCGTGCACGCAAACTTGCATCAATTTGTTCGTATACGCAACTTGTTATGTGCGATTTGTGCGAATAGCTTTATTTGAAATTGACATTGGACGTGTGCATCTCTACTTGCGTGCACGCAAAAGATGCACTCGCTCGCTGCATTGCCAGTTTTCTTTTCACAAAATGTTGAAAATCTACCATATAAAAATGAGTGGATTTTTGAATTTTACGATATTTTGGCTGCCGGTGACGTAATGATTTTTTTGATGTTTTGAGGTTATAATTTTCTAAAATATGTTTCGTGTTTATAAGCAATTTACCACAAAAAATTAATATTATTTCACCAAGCCCTATTCCTGTAGATAGAAAAAAGAGCTGCGCAAACGTAGAGGCGGAGGAAAAAAGGCTTCTTGTCTAGTTTGTCAGAGAACGCCCCAACCTTTACCAAAGATTCAAGAAAAAAATGTGGCAAGAAGCCTCAGCGGTATTAAATACGGGCCCGATGACAGATTCTCTTCTCGGTGACACCAAATAGCCCTCTATAGCATCATATAAGTCTTCAAAAGTAGCTTTATTTAGCCGAAATTTTTCACGAAAGCCCGGTCACTTAGGACAAAGGCATAACATCGCGTCCGTACTATGAGGTTTTCGTTGAAAGACTTTGCTAGTTCAAGACGAGCCAGCACATTGTGCACAAGTTAATATTAATAACGTTATTGAAATTCATATTTATAAAAATCACAAACATATTCAAACCTATTTGAATGAACTATCAAAATTAAAATAAATTGACAAATTGACGACATAACTTGCGTGTGCGTAAGTAGGCTTGCGATCGGTATACCCCCATGCGCAGAAGTTGCGAGTGGTGCAAAGTCATATCGCTCGCAGTGCATTTCAAATAAGCTGTGCACCAATTGTCAATCGCAAATGACGTTATTTGCATGTACGCAAAGTTGCATCAATTTCAAATAAACCCCCCCTGGGCAATGAGTAAATTTGCCGCCCCATCCCATGGCCTGCTTAGGAAAAATGTGAGAGATGTTGAATTGTAGGAACAAAAAATAATAACACGAAATAGTAAGGCATAGCATCATAGCAATAAAACCACACACTTTATTATACAGTGAGTTCATAAAGTCCAGCATAAATTCATTATTTTAAAAACGGTAGAATTTTTGGAAAATCGCTGACACGTCAATTTTGTTTTTTTGTTTGAAATATTTTGATATATTTTCTATCATACAGGGTGTCTCAAAAATAGCTTTGCTGGTATTAACTTAATTTTTTTTAATGGTACCCCCTGTATATTATGACATTTCTGGATTCTACGGAAAATTCTGGACATATTTCATGTACAATATCATATACTTCAACTGTTTCGGAAATATTGACAGTTGAAAATTGACTTTTTTCCAACTTTGACAGGCTGTAAAACCTAAACGGTAAATTTTAGAGGAAAACCGATTTCACATTCCTATCTTAGATTCGCATAAAGTATTATTTGACACCAATTTTGAATAAAAGCGAAGATTAAATTTAACCAGAATTTTTAATCATGGATTAACTTCAAAGTTGTTGTCAAATGATAGTTTATGAAAAACTAAGATAGGAATGTAAAATCGGTTTTGCTGTAAAATCAACCGTTCAGGTTTTAAAATCTGTATGACAATACAATATCGCCTGACTAGTACTGAGTACATCGCCATTCGCCTGACAATATTCCAAAATATCAGAATCAGTGCAACTTGTCTTTGAGGCCTGACAATAGACAATAGACTCTCTATTTTCCGATTGCTCGGTTATTTGAGTTGAGTAATACTGCGTTTGAAATCTGATGCCGTATTGTTCGAGCATCAGGCCTGATTAATTACGGGGAATCCCAGAATTGCCAAAGCAACACAAACTGACTGACGATGGGTATGGGTACAGACCATTGAGTACAGACAAATCACATGTTATTATATTTTCCTAATGCTAGTTGTGTGTGAAAGGAATATCATTCAGACGATTTAAAAAATTTGGCAAGGCTGAGAACTCAGCTGAGAATAAAAAATCGTTATACTATACTTATTAGCAATGATCTCAGGCTCACCCACCACTTCAATTGTGAGATCAGCTTTATGCAGCTGTTGATTTCTTTGTAAATAGACCACATACGACATGTCCTATTTCCATATTGTTTAGACCGAACATTCACTGATAATTTGTCATAGTTGCTTTTTTTTTCATTTATACATCTTGATTTACATAGCCCGTGCATTAGAAGTTGTCGAATTTGTAGGTGGATTAGTAGAAAAAGCATCTAATTCACCTGCAAGCTCGCCTGCACGCTAATGCACGGGCCAGGTAAATCACCCTGTATATTATTATGAGGTACAGTTGTGATTTGCGAAGAATCCAACCTACATTTACATTCTATTATATTTATATCTTTATTCAGGTTTTTGTTTTCACTCTAATAATTTTGGAGGCAAGTTTTGATTGGACAACCTCCTAAAAATCGGGATAAAAATATTCATAAAAGTGTTCCATTGATCGCTCATATCTTGTTTTTCAATAATTTATACTTTTATGCCCAATCCTGTTCGCTGAAAATAGTAGGTATATTGTTGTATTAGGAGTAGAAGCTTTACTTTTTTGTGCTGAAGCAGTAGGTTTGCGAGCCGAACGTAGGAGGCTTGCAATACTGCTGAAGCACAAAAAAGTGCTTCTACTCCGTATGCAACACGCTATTTTTTCTCCAAACTAATAGACTGTGAGATAGGGGCTGTTTAGTGGAGTCATTTTTTTTTGTCTGGCATTTCGAGGGCTGAATGTGGCTACTAAGCTGATGAGAATATGGGTGATTTTAATGCCGGCCTCCCGTTCGAAAATTTGCAAAAGAAAAAAATTGATTTACATGAAGATTTTTTTTTTAATGATCTCAAATTTTCTGGCTTTTAAATAAAATATTGACATTGATAAATAATTCAACCATGAAAAATATCAGATGCTTTTCAATAGCTGAAAAAATGGGGATGGGTGTCAACTTCCAAGAGAAAAGAAAAGAACCTTCCGCGTTTACTTTTTGTCTGGCAGTCGAAAGAATGAAAGGTTTTGTTCTGAAATTAAGGCTCAAAAATCGCCAGACGGTAATCACAGTTCGAAATCGAGTTTTCCGGCGAAACATTCTGTGGACATTTCGAACAGGAGGCAGGCATTAAAACCACTTATATTCTCATTAGCTAACTAGTCACATTCATCCCTCAAAATGCCAGACAAAAAAAAATGACTCCACTAAACAGGCCCTATCTCAGGGTCTATAATGGGGTAAGCTCGGGGGCAAGTGAATGGTTGAGCGGCAGTAAAAGTACGAGCGGCACTAAAAGTACTTTTGCTGCCGCTGGGGTTGCCAAGCAGCTTAGAAATTAAACTTCTACCACCTCGACAGGGTGTTAACCCGCTGGATTTGCCTCGCAGCATAGAAATCAAATTTCTGACATCTTGACAGGGGTTAACAAAGTGACGTTTTTTTGACGTTTGGAGAAAAAATCACGTTTTTCTCCAAACGTCAGAAAAACGTCACTTTGTTAACTCCTGTCAAGATGTCAAAAATTTGATTTCTATGCTGCTAGGCAAATCCAGCGGGTTAACACCTGTCGAGGTGGTAGAAATTTAATTTCTATGCTGCTTGGCAACCCCAGCGGCAGCAAAAGTACTTTTAGTGCCGCTGGAGCGGCAGTAGAAGTACTTTTAGTGCCGCTCGTACTTTTACTGCCGCTCAACCATTCACTTGCCCCCGCGCTTACCCCATTAGTTTGGAGAAAAAATAGCGTGTTGCATACGGAGTAGAAGCACTTTTTTGTGCTTCAGCAGTATTGCAAGCCTCACTACGTTAGGCTCGCAAACCTACTGCTTCAGCACAAAAAAGTAAAGCTTCTACTCCTAATACAACAATATACTATTGTTTTCATCTGTGAGAAGACGTTTTTAATGAATATGATTTTTTTTTCTTCTACATAATCTCAAGTGATTTTCTGGGTAGTATGATCAGAAATAAAATTTCCACCCAGCTTCACCTCATTATATTCAACATTTGTAAATTTGTCTACACAACTGGACGAATCTGAAACTATTCTAGTATTTTCCTTTTTTTCTGGTTTTCAATTTTCTCATGCTGTTGTGTGTAAATTCCACCGTTCTTTACAGTACCATTGCTTTTCAGCATTGCTTAGGAGATAGGTACCTGCATTTGAGCATTATGTAGAAATAGTTATACCGAGAGCCGAGAGTTTTACTGTAAACTATTGTGATGACAAAAAAAGCTTGATTAAAGAATTTCTTTCAAAAAAAATTACATTTCAATATTAAAGTCTTCCTCGGAGTCTTCTAAAGTAAAAATTAGTTTAGTCTTGTCAAATGTACTTCTCATCAAATGCTCAACTTGTGTTAAACTCATA